CCATTGTTCTCAACAATGTCCGTATACTAGGAAAGTACTCCTTCAAAACAGTACCAATTAACTAGTTTCTTGTTCTCAACAATGTCGTTTACTAGGAAAGTACTCTTTCTGTATAGCATGTGATCTCATTAATGTGCATAAATATGATTCTTCGAAAAAATCTATTTTAGCAAACAATATGCTTAATAATTATACATTTTGCTAAACATTTCTACTGATTTTAAACCAGACAGCAAACTTAATGTCAATAAACAAACACAGTAGTCAACTCGAAATATATTATTCTAAATATCCACAATTTGTATGTTATAATACTACAGTTTATTTAAACATATGAGAGATACATATTTGCTTTGTTTGGTTACTAATAGTTCCGCTGTATTTGTCCCCAAATTGGAGAAAGTTATTTCAATGGACGGCAATTCAATTCAAGCTGATTAAAGACATATTAATATTGCTTGATTATTGTTATTGCTACCCTATTTGACATAATTACTTGGAAATGTTCCTGTTACACCGTTAATCTCTCCTCTCCACCAATTCGAATCTGGCTTATCAAGTACAGTGATAATATCTCCTCGACGGAATTTCAACTCTCCTTCTTCCTGGGGGTTGAAGTCAAACAATGCTTGCACCGTATTTTGTTCCTGCGTAAATGACAATTGTAGCATGTTAATGAAATGAAATGGACATAATAATTCTGGAATGCAAATACACAATTGTTATTTAGATCACTGTTCTTTCACAATGACTTTACAGGAAACTGAAAATTTCTGCTCTCAAGGCGAATTATTTTTAGTTTTAAGTATGTTTGCATTATCTGCAGTTCATTGGTTTCTAAATCACTGAAATCTACAACTGCTTGCTAACTTCCATCAAATAACAATTTTCGAGAACAATTTTGAAAACTTGTTGACCAAAACATTCCCACGGAAATGTACAAAAAACATTGATATGATTACCTGCTTATCTTTAAGAAAGATTTGCTCGCTTCTACTGACCGACGAAGTTCTGTGATAATCCACTAATTGATTGAGCGAGTTGAACTTCACCACCCAAAGGAAGTATTTGCCAGCACCGTCACGAAGTATCTTAAAATTCTGTACTCCATCTTTAAATCTATAAACCGTTTTATTAAAAGATGTTAGGATATATTAGATAAGTGTATAGAACTGATTGCAATGATCACAAGACACGTAAGTTCATAGAAATAACTCATTTGTTAGGCTGCTTTTTCTAGTGTCATCGATTATTTCCCCTTTTTACTTTGCCCGTATCATCAAAGATGGAAGGGAAAGGTATATCAAGGGAAACATTTCTGTCCGTCGTTGTCGTTGTCGTCGTTAATAAGTGTTATTGGTGTACAATAACTTTACTAATTCTATTCCAAACTTTATCAAACTTGACCACCTTATTCTTCAGTATAAAGTCTCCCCTTAGTATGAACGAGAAAATCTGATAAAATATTTTGACTGTTTCTACTTGACTGATCACTGGTGATACACATTCAAGGGTCACTGATCTCAGTGGCAATATGCATTGTTGTATGTGGTCAATGAAGAAAATCATTTATCTTGTAATAATATCTCCAAAATCCCATGGGAATACTAGACTGGGTTTCAAAACCAACTCATGGAGAGAGTTTTTGCACAGTCTAATACATATTTGTAAACCTACCAATAAAATCTTTACAGAAAAAAGATGTCAGAAAATCAATATAATCACTCCTATGAATTGGGTGCCAAACTTTGATCAAGATCAGAAGCTAATAGTAAATCTGTTTAGTCCAATGTTATCAAATCAAAAACAATACTTAAAATATACATAAAAAGAAAAACGTTGCATCCACATTTTTTTAAAGGAAATTGTACTTCAAAATATGTATTCTGTATTTGATAAACAGTTCATTGGACAAATGAATATCAAAATCCACAGGAATTTGTTTCAGCTATTAGACCAGAATGATAGAACTTATATAATACTAATTTAAAAACGCACTTCAAAAACAAAGATTACAGTGTTTGAAGATTTAGATTCCCAAGAAGCAACAGTACTGTTGACTTCTCTCTCCACTGGACACCAACTAACTATTTAAGTTGATTTGCATACAAAGCAGAGCTTACAACATGATAGCTATTTATAGAGGGCGTTTTTTTATTTACAAATTATAATAACACAGTAGTCACATAATGAATATAATAAGGGAGTTCATATTTGTCTCAGTGAATCATTAATTTTTGACAGAAACCTGTACAAAATACTTAGACTGCTTTCCCACTGTTGTTTCAACCCCAAAACTTGTTTGTATTCAAAATTAATTATGACAATGCATATTCATATTGAAACAAACTATGATAAAGGGAATAATATTATATAACAAAGGGCGGCAAGGTCAACAGAGTTCAACTATGTTTTAAATACGGCAACAACCTCACTCATTCCTGCTTACATACTTGAAACTTATTTCCACTTATTTTAATTAACCTCACACCATATTCTTTGTATTAAACCATATTTATACAGCTATGTTTATATCTTAGTTACATAATATAACAAGCTTTAAATGTGTGTGGATTTAATATGTTTATAAGAATGGCTATTACGTGTCCGGCGTGTATAATGAGGAGAATGAAGTCTCAATAATTCCCAATAATAAATTAATATAGTGGCAAGTGTTTCACAAAATGTATGCATTGGAAATGATATACACAAATCCATAATAATTTTGTGAATGTATGTATATGCTTCAAAACTGTAAAATTGAGGATTTGAAAATGTGTATTCAAAAGAAATGTTGATTCCATGAACAACTAATTACTAAACGTTGCAACTGTAATGATTAATTGATGTGATAATAATAAAATATGTGTGCGAAGATGTTATAAGAGATTAGTGGTCACATAGCCTGGATACATGAACCTGTAATTCATAATGATAAACTCTGTTCTCTCACTTCTCAGTGAAGCAAAATCGCAAATAATGCAAATATACCTACTTAACAGACAGTGAAAAGTCCCCTGGTGTACTCTCACTTTCTCGAATTAAAAAAGCACCATCATATGATTGTAGTTGTAGTAGTTCTTCTGCTTTTTCTCTGCTAATTTTACCATGAAACCATCTGTAAATAAATAGAGGTATGGTGGTTTTATACTCGTAACTAAATTTGTCGATTTGTTTCACTGAAGGATAAATATGTGTGCGGGCGAGTAATAAATTGTCAACTAGAGCAAGGCTGTTCTAGTGATAAACGATAGAGAGAAAAATTGGTTTAATGGAAAACAGTGAAAATGATGAAACGTCGACAATCAAACAATACAACGACATTGCCAAGTGATCATTTGAGATTGAACCATAACTGGTAAACTTAACATATCAAATCAACCATGACTAATTAAATAGAAGAGTTGGGAACAAATATGACGTAATTGATGGATGGATTGAATGTTTGCACATGACTGGAATTACGATCGATGTGTGTAAAAAGGCAGCAGATATCACGAAGATATCAAAAATGATAGAAAAATGGTGAAAGCTGCATTTATTTCCTTCAAAACATTCATAAAAGTTAGATAGGACTTCTTGAGTTTGTATTTCAGTAGTATTTCTTGCAGCCATAATTTTGCAAGTTCAAAATTCCGAATTTCTGCCAAATTTACAAAGCTTTTTTTTTTCTAATTCGTTGCTTGATATATGATATTATATCTTCTGGACATTTTGTACACTTTTTTTGTAAGTTACTAAAATTTACAACAATTGCACACATAGATCATATATAATTCATCCATTACCTGTTTACTAGTCTAGAACATGATAACCTAGTTGTTACTAAGTTACAAAGTTTAGATTAGTTTTACATGACAGGTTTAAAAGCGTATCTTTTGAGGAATCATTTAATAATTGTATGTAATAACAGAACATCTCAGCATTTAGTTTTGAATATTGATTTAGTAGGTGAGTCTATCCCAACACATGCCTGAATGTTAATTTTCAAGACAATGGCATTGTACATATGTATTGTTTAAAGCGTGGTTTGGGAAAACATTTTTCAGGCAGTGGGAAGGTATTCATGTAAATCGCACAGAAGTATCTATCATTATAGAATGACGTGGTCTGGACCAGAAATAACATTCGTTAGCATGACAAGTTGCAGATACATTGGTGCTAGAAGGGAAGAATGGAAAAACAGGATCACTAAACCAGTATAAGACCATAATAATGTGCATTAATCATATTTGTGCCAGTAATGAGTGTACATATAGGCAATATGGCATTGTAATTTCGCCAGTCAGGTAGGATTATACCAATTTCCTATATTAAAATGTTTCATATAGTGGAGACGAGGTTTTGCCTATGTAGAACTCTCTGTACTCATTGTTACAGGAATATAAGTAGGCATATTTCGGGCGTGATTTCGACGCTTAAAAATTCGATAGCTCATCAAAACCCCAGGATACCGGGAATCCAGCGAACCCCCATTCTCGTACGGAAACCGACTGATGGCGCTGTAGCTCAAAACACGTGTGTTGTTAACACAGGACAAGAAATTCGGGTAATATCAAATAGCTGATCACAGTGAAAGCAGTGGCGGATCTAGGGGGTTCTTGGGGTCCGGACGCCCCGTTGAAAAATGTATTCAATTTGTTTTTGTATAATATAAAAAAATCATTAACTTGGTCTGGCGATTTTAAAGTTTGCCCCCCCCCCCTCCATAAAACAATCCTGTATCCGCCCCTGAACAGTGAAGCGAGTGTGGTAATTTTCGGTAATATAAATCACATGGTATAATGTTATTCGAATAAAGAGTGCTAGATGATACGACTTACAGACCCTATTACCAATGTTTACAGTTGTACAATCTTTATTCAGTTATATTTATAAGCCAATTTACTAAGCTTCGAGTAGAATCTTTTTAGTGCCAGATAAACGACCTTGATTTAGCCCAATCAGATGCGGTTAGATTTAGATAAAGTATCCGATAACTATGATGAAAAAAGCATGAGGAGATATTCCAATCGGTTAAGGGGGCTTAAATGAAATAGATATAACTGATTGAGTTAAATATCAACTATGGCCCATAAACAGAACGATGTGAAGTAGAATGATAATCCACTGGAAGGAAAATACAGATAACTTACTCGTGGGGTTTCATTTCGATATAATTTTTCGGAATCAAACCTTCTCGTCCGTCCAGCTCAGCATTATACCACTGTGAAGCGTCTGTATTTAGCACCTACACAAAACACATATAGGACACAAATTGAAACACTGTCTGACAAACAATGTAAATCGTATTGTTATAACATGCAATTGAGTCAAACGTGAAAATATCGATGCGTGCAACCAAAATTTGTAATTATAGAATTAGGCAACATCTGAAAACAAAAGAACCATGCATAACACGGTAAATGGAATAAGAAAATGGCTGTATCTCGACAGGACAAAGAGCTGCAAAGAAAAGTTCTAAATTGTGCACAGTTTGTGTTTAATCAAGTAAGGAACAAATCTGCAGTTTATGTTCATTAATCGATTGTCATTAGTAATTATATTAGAGATTACGTCATACAGACTTGCCCACGATATTAAAAGTGCACTAGTTCTGGTCTATAATCTTGTATTACCATACTCTGGGCTGTAGTACATATGCAGTTTTGAAAAGGATATCGATTGTCTTCATATGTCTAACAATCAATCAATCACTCAACATACACAATGTTTGTAATAAACTTACTATTATATTAAAGCGCGGTAGTCGTCGCGCTGCGCATGTGCGAGATATATGGGTCTCATATAAACAAAGATGGCGACTTTGACTGTTGCGCAGATCAACGAGTACGAACTGACACGTTTCCAATCTTTAATTAGGTAATTTTCATATGATTGGAAGGTTCCGAAGGAGTCACCGGTGGTAATCAGTGCAAGTCGCGCCCAGGTCAAACCTCATACTTGTGATTTCCATTTGAAGAGCGCATTGGATTGTGGGAAAATCAATGTTTATGAACACAAATGTCAAACATGCGCAGCGCGGTGACTACCGCGCTTTAATAATGTTGTTTTAAATTGGTCATTAGAAAGTGTTTCGCATAATGTAAGCTATGTTGACAAAGTGATCAAATCACGGCACGGTGATGGTTGGATTTCGGTAAAAATTTAAAGCTGCAATAAAATATCACCATACATAACTTTACTTTTAACTCTGTTCAAAATAAAGTAACATAAAAGTGTAAACAGGTTAAAAAAAACATAATCCGTGAAAAACGAAAGCTAAACAAACTCGAAAACCGTTTTTCTAACCATTTTTTGTATCTAAACACTTTTATTGAAACAACAAAAACTTGGCATAGAGTCTAAGTTTGCAGTTTTGAATGAATTAAATGCTGGAAAACACACGAAACCTCATGAAAATTGAAATACCACACAATAAGCCAACATATAATAACTTACCCAGTATATACATGTTTTGAAAATATGATACAAAAATAGAATATATATTCAAAACTAATGAAAAATGGTTTACGTAACATAAAGTTGGATAAAAATAAGCAGCAATTAGTTCACATGGCAGTTGAACAGTGGATGCCATGGTGACAGAGAATAGGGGAACTGTTTGTGGGGGGGGGGGGGACAATTATCATTGTATTTTCGCTTTGGATGGATCTCAATATTAAAATCGTCCACTACAATATTTGACAATTAATGTATTCTCCTATTTATCATTACATATTTAAAAATTCTCCCGAAACATGTCAGTGTGGTTATGACACGTCATATAGCTATGGTTAGATTTTGTTAATTTAATTCAAGGTTTATTGAATTACATAACAGATATTAATTAATAAATTAATATTCATACGTTTATGTCATTACATAACATATAACAGCTAAATATAGTCTTAACTATAATTTTATTCATCAGAAACAATACTTTTGTTAGCCGTAATAAAAACACATTATTTTGACAGATGCATTATTTAGTCAATTGAAACAGTGCATTCTTATCAGTGAATACAATATATTATTTTGGAAAGAATAGAATACATTCTCATCGGTGAACAAAATAGATGATTTAGTCAGTTGTCATCACTATGAACAATGTATTCTTGATTCAATGGAAACACTTAATGTTTAAAGCTTAATTTAATACGAGAATATTCAATGTTTTCCAAATAACTGCAAAAAAAAGCTGTAATTTTGCTACAACAAAATGAGGTTTATTCTCCAAAACAATTGCATACATCACCCTGTCGGTGGGTTTTAATTTTCACGAAAGTGTAGGCTATTCCAGTAATTATACCATATCCATAATGAAAATTAATACGGCCAACATTGCAATTGTGTTTCGTGAAGATGATGGGCTATATTGATTTTAATTTAGCGAATCAGTACCACTCAGTTAAAAAAAAACGATAATATTCACGTATTAGACATTATAAGAATATCGGTCTTTCACACAGTGGGAAATCATTACCTAATAATAATGACGGCTTTCCAAGAGTTCAACTTTGTAATGTTGTTTTTTAAAACATTTGACGGTTTATGTAATTTAGTGAACCAAGTGTGAGAACCCCCCCCCCCCCCAAAAAAAAAAAACTTTACTCAACAAGTACTATTTGGAGTACTGTATGGTAGAGACAAAACATAAATTCCACGGGCAAAACAAAATAATACAATAGCTTAATGACGCCCTAAATTCGTTACTGTTTTGATATACAGACTATGAGTAAAGAACAGAGTTGTGTAAAAACACTACTGACATAACTATATACTACTCAATATATATGGAAGGAGTAAAACTACTATGGTAACACTGAGAGAATACCTATCTCACCTTTAGAATTGAACCTTTTGTGAAGCTCATCTCATCTTCCGCCGTAGCAGTGAAATCGTGTCTGGCGACTGCTTCCATGGTTTAACGTCTGTCTGTCGGTGGTCGTAATAATGACTTTTCCACCAACGTACAGTGAATAATTTGTTCTGCTGTCTTTCCTCGACTTTTATAGGCCAGCACAACGTGATGTCATGTCGTTACGTGTTTACCAACTAGCACGGACGTGTCAGATTCAGCATATGGTGCACAGTTCAAACTAGCTTGCCATCTACGGTTACAATGCACCCCATTTACCACAGGGCCATACAAATAGGGTAATTCCTATTTGCCAATTATTTATTCAACCGTGATATACTTGTATTCATAGATATGTCAAGTTTGGCCATATTACGCCACACTTTTACTAATCTACCTGCCACGTGAATATTCATGAAACCGAAACTATTGAATACTGTATAAAATACTTTATTTTAGCTGGAATTAATTTTCGATGAAAACACTTTTTGGGTGTTTTGTAAGGTATTTATTTTCACTGATTTTTGACAAGTTGAATGTAAAATATAAGAAAAAGATATAATCGCTGGATTTTATTTCTCACTTAATCATTTCTTCTGCGAGAATAGCGTAAATTAATTCCAAATGAAAATAAAATATTTCACAGTGCTGTCATGTTTGCACTCGGCCCGCGCTTTTGCACAATGGGAGATGACTTAGCAAGTTTGGGCTTGAACTTATTACCATTGTGTAACGGTTACACGGGCCGAGTGACGGGCATGCCACGCCCACACATGGGGGTTTATTAATAAGGGAGATTTTAGAGGTGGTTGTTAGATATATATTCTCGGAGCCATCCGGTAGAGTTTGTGCTCTGAACCTTGTTGTAATAGTTTTCAGTGTTCCAGCCCAAAATCTTGAACGGTACCCCGACACATCTGCAAGCGAGTTTACTCACAAGATTCCCCAGACGCCAATTCCCTTAATTTCACAGTACATTGGATATATTTGTTACCAGTTTTGAATACTCAATCCATGTTTGGAAAATTAACAAGCCTTGGATACATTCAAATCATATCAACCCGTATATCAGGCCATCGTCAAATTCCCAGTCATTCCCAGTCCCTGTTCCAGTCATAAAAGGTTACCAAGCGTTACGTAACTTTCAATTGTCTTGATGTTTTATTGACGCTGGTCAATACAACTACTATACCGCAATTACAATTATATTTGCATATCAGCGGGGACAGCTTGGTCAGTCTACGTACATTATGTCCCTTAACCATTGGCCTTTTGAATCGAACGTTTTTGTTTTGTTTCGAGTTTGTTGTGTGCTGAGAAACAAAGCAACATTTTCTTTTCTGGAACGTCTACAAAATTTGACAATGACACTAGCCCAAAATGAATTGTTCTGTGCGTCTTTGATTGTAACAACAGTGCTTACGTCGATTTACGTGAAATACACAATCTTGAACTTGACAATGTTCATTATGACAAGGAAAAATAATGATTTAATTCGTCCAGGTTATATAATAAATTTTCTAATTAATATTTCATGCGTATTTTTGTGAGTGTACCTGTATGTATTTAAAATAAGTACACATTATATGGAAATTGCCAAGCCAGTTGTGAACAAATATTTTCGTGAATAACACTGCTGGGCATAACACGCCTATCGAGAAACGTCACTGGTGGATTATTTCATATTGCAAATTCTATCAATTTTAATTTGTTGTATTGCAATACATTAGTAATAATTAAAACATATACATATATTTAACTATACATTTTTTTTTATTTCATTGCTGAGAATAAGTTATACATTTGTTTCGTACTATATTTTTTATCTATATTGGGAAATTTTTCTGGGATTATTAATTTCCATAAACAATATTCAACTCTCCTTCTGCAACACCAATCTTTCAATCTTTCACAGCCAAACGATTCGTTTGGGTAATATTAAGCATACGGCTATCAAAATTCTGCCGAATTCGTCGTTTTTGTGTGGAAAAATCCTTTGCATACGAACACCTAATTACGAAGAATATAGAACACTTTCCTGGGGTATTTGAAACTAAAAATTGTCATTCCAACTCAGCAGCCAATCAGTGACGGCGACACAGTTAGATAACAATTTTGATGTGGGTGTGGTTCTCTTGCATAATCATGTAGATGACACAAACAAATATGGTTCTGTGACCCAGGTCGTGTTTCTATCAGGTGACTTTCATCAAATCAAAGATGTTTGACGGAAAACGTATTTGACGCAAATTGAAAGGCTTTCACACCATCCAATCATCGTTGTCAATTCACGTAGTTTTTTGTGATGTCATAGGCTTCATAATTATTCAATCGAGAAGCATTAGTATAATTTGACAAAGAGGAAGGATTTGACCTCAGTTCACAAAAATGCGCTGAGATACGTTAGGGTACATGGCGACGTTTTGCATTGCAAGTTGCGAAAATAAGGTAAACCAGATCATGGTGGATGATTTTCAGTACCGAAGGTCTTCTTTGAATCATGAATTTCAAACTATTCATCGGCGGCTACCAAATATTTACGGCTAAAACCAAAGTTGAAACTTTCTGACGACCAATAAATCATTTATAAATATAAAGCTCTCTTCGATTTGTTCAAGACATTGGCCCGTTTTTACTATCATAGAGGGACTGGTTTGTGAGAAAACTTTCAAAGTGCGGATGGATCGAGCCCAGCCACTTGTCAGTTAAGGACATAGAGTACAATGGTTATCCCTGGGCGTTGGCCAAACAACCAAACCCAGAGAACAAACAAGTGAACTCAGGAATATGTCTGTATCTGCCCCTCGTATAAAGTAACATATCTTTTTATTACCAAACGCTTCAGCGTGGTATTAAGATTTTGTTTTCAGGCTTGGGTGGTACCAAGGTGGAAAATGGTTGCACATATGGGGTGTAATTCCTAGAATTGCAATAGAGAGGGTTCAGGCCGAAATATATATATATAGTGTTTCCATGTTTCATCTGATATTTCTGTGGTATTCTGCTGCTGTAAATAATGCAAGATTTGTTCCGAAATTCAGTGTGTTGTGTGCACTCCAGGGTTATTCGTTTTTTTGCTCAAAACACCCCTATTTTTTAATGGCAGAGTCGAATAGTTTCACTCCCACTGGGAAATCTGCATTGTTACTTGAATGAGAGCTAGCTAAACACATTTTCCAGACCGGCGAAAGTGTATGCAACAGCCAA